TAGTTACGTGGATTTTCCGTATGAATTTTTTCAAGACACAAAAATCGAATTTTTCCAGTACAACCGAAACCACATTTTATCATACATTTTTTCTGAAGGAATATATTTAATGAAAGTAAAATAATGGATTAAATTTTTTTATTATTATTTTCCATCAACAATATTAGCAATAGCATTATTTCCATGGATATCGTTCATATACTAAAAACTGTACGTCATTTTTTTTCTTGTAATTATTGGTGTGTTGATGTTATGGTAGTAATTGCGTTTGATTACAATCCAATTGTTGGGTCATCTGAAAAAATATATTTAAATCAGTAAAATGTAAATTCAAAAAAAAAAAAAAAAAAGGATTTCTTCAATTATTCCAAATGTTTATCACAACTTCCGCAAATCTGAAGAACATTATGTGAATAAAAGTAGGGGTATAAAAGTCATGTATTTCGAATAATAAGAAAATTTACAAAAATAATTTCCAATAGTTTTACAATCGTATTAAAGTAAATCGCACAATTCAGGCGTAATATTCATCATGATGCAATAAATTGTTTATCCAGCACTTTTGTGACGCATAAAAAATATCCACTCTCTTCCCAAAATTCAAGCACCTTTAAAAAAAAAAAAAAAAAAAATACCTCACATGAGCCAAAAAACAATAGTCAAGGATCGACGTGATACTTGATTTCCTTTTTCGGATGTTTAAGGTTTAAGTGGATGATCATGTGCTCTTTGCGTTTGCTGCGATGTGGACAAAAGTGGCACAGGAACTGCGGCTTGACATCACCGCATTCAAAGTTCAAGTGGCGCTGCAGATTGTACCGCGATCGGTAATTTTTGCCGCACTCGAAACACACGTTCGTCGTCTTGGGCCCAGAATTATTTGTCAACGACAACGGGTCCAAGCAGTCGATCGACTCATACGCGTACTCGTCCTCTTCTTCTTCCTCATCTTCCTCAGACTTGAACTCCGAATTGAGCAATCGGTAGACCTTTTCTATCTTTAGTTTGATTCCTGGAACATATAACAACATTGGAGTGTTGGAAAAAAGGTCCCCATTCTTTTTTTTTTTTTTTTTTTTTTTTTTTTTCTTCTCTTAATTTCCAAGTTAAAGATGCATAGATTGTGAAAATTTGTACGTTAGGAGAAGAAATTAATAAAATAAAAGAAAAAGCCTAGATATTTCGCGAGATCCGCGTAAATGAACGAAAAAAAAAATCAGCTCTCAGCTATATAAAAATGTTTATTCATGTGAATTGCACTCGATACATCTCAGAAGACATTGTACTTTTTCTTGATGTTACAAAAATATATATACATGAAAATAAATGGAATAGATCAAGGGACGACCATGGACTCGGTGACGAGGGTTTTTCTGTTGTAATACTTGAGCCCATCTGCCAAGTGGTGGTGGTGACGGTACACGTGCAGCCTGATGGCAGCTTTGCACTTGTTGTTGTACGGGCAATAGAAGCAGCTGAACCGAGTCGCCTCGCCCGTGTGGTTGCACTCGACCCGTTGATGCCGGAGGAGGTTTTTTCGGTAACGATAGGTTCTTCCGCACTTGGCGCACACTTCAAAGTCCGGTGCACCGTCGGGATTTATTCGCTCGTCAGCAGGCAGGGCCAATGGGTCGGTTGGCTCGCTGGTGGCCACGGGCTTAACGTAAAAGTGATTTGTTTTTGCTGCCGTCGTGTCTGAAACAAATGGAATGGAAGTTATGGACGATGGCGGTGGATTGAAAAAAGTGAGGCTAGGTGCAGTTTATGGCAAATACAGACTACAAAAAAAAAAAAGGTACGGATATTGAGATTGATCGGACGCAATAAATAAACAACAGACCCTTAAATTTATCAAACGGTATTTATTTTACGCGTACAGGTAAGGAAAAAACCGGAGGATAAAAAAATGGTCCCAACTGCCTATATATAGGCACTCGTGCAGGCAGCCACATACACCCTCACAAAGTCCCAACGGCACACAAATTTTTAAAAACGATAAAGAAACGTTTTATCCAAATCGAAGTTAAAATGTCCTTCGGAAGCTATTTTGTTAAAATAATTTTATCGTTGAAAAAAACACACTTTTGTTTGTTGTATAGTTTGAAAAAAAAACAAAAAAAAAAAAAAAAAAAAAAAAAAAAAAACAGTACATCTGTTGTAAAACAGTTTAGCCATTTTGGGAGTCGGAATGGCTCTGATCAACATACAAGAGCGCGAACGTGTGAAAACCCTCTTTGAGTTTATCACTTTGCGTTGTGCGAGGGAAAATTTTGGTACGCCTTTTGCGTGGAGTTGAAATTGTGCTGCTCGGCGGCCACGAGGACGTCCTTGTCGAAGTACAGTTGAGCTCGAGACCTTCGTGGTTGCGATGGGTGTGCGACTTGAGCTGCTGGTCGCTGCGCTTGCTGCGATAGCCGCAAAGAAAGCACCCGAACCTGGGCTGCACCGCGCCGATCAAGCACTGGCACTCGTACTTTTGGTGGCGCAACAGGTTCTTCCACTGCTTGTACACGATTTCCCGTAATCGGCGCAAATGTTCACGGATCGGCACCCCGTTATCGCGGGTGTCGAATCCTTCCCTACCGCATTTGGAACGAAAGGAAGCGCGCTGGGGTTGGTAATAAACGATAAAAATAAAGTCGGCGAGAAAACATACGTTAGCGATCTGGTTCGAAGAGACAAGCGATGGATCGAGATTTATCTTTTTTTTTTTTAAATTTTATTTCCATACCAACTGTTAGAAAATTTTGAAAACAAAAATAAAATTGGATAAAATAAAATTCTCCTAGGAAAAAACAAAAACAAAAACAAAACATTGTTCGGTGCACACAATAGGTGGACATAATTACTTGGTTTTATCGATTAAAAATATTTTTAAAAAGAAACCGAACGTACTTTTTGGTCAAAGATAACACTGATTGATCTCCTACTTCAACTGTGCTCACATGCTTGCATAAAGAAAGTTCCCTCAACTATTCAACTCCCGCTTCCAAGCGCGCGTGTACTAGTGCAAGTTACTAACGAGAGGCTCATTCGGATGCTTCCTCATCATGTGAGTCGTTAGATTCGATTTTTGCTTGCTCCTATGATCACAGTACGGACATTGGTAACGCGGTGGTTTTTGACACTCGTGCAAAAAGTGCGCCCGCATGTGGTGCCTGTACTTATACGTGTTGGAGCAAAGCGGACACGAGTACAATTCACTCCCAGCTGTGGTCGTGATTTTCGTGGCGTGGCCGGACTTTATGTGATCTCTGAGACCCTTGCGACTCGAGCAGCAGTAATTGCAGTCGTTGCACCGCACTTTGACTTTCTAGTTGATGGTGTTTGATTGGCAATGTTTAGTAAGTCATTGGTTTCTTGACATATCGGACTATGATATTCGATTTCTCCAAGTTCGGCTGTGTCCCCTCTTAGGTATATCACTACATGGTCATCTGCAATGTCAAATATATATGAAATGTTAGTTTTCCGGTGTTGGGATTTTTACATGTTTGTATTCTTGGTTTGAGTGTGGTTTCGTGCGGAAAAGGTTGAAGTTGAGAAAAATAAAAAAATATTTAAAAAAAAAAGNTCCCTACCGCATTTGGAACGAAAGGAAGCGCGCTGGGGTTGGTAATAAACGATAAAAATAAAGTCGGCGAGAAAACATACGTTAGCGATCTGGTTCGAAGAGACAAGCGATGGATCGAGATTTATCTTTTTTTTTTTTAAATTTTATTTTATAAAAAACACAATTGTCCGCACATTAAACACATTATGTCAGAGCACACTGTGTCTCGTATCTTCAGAGAACGTGGTGCAAAAACCTTTGACGGTATACAGTGGTAGTTGAAAAAGAGACGAATCATCATTTGGAAGCAAAAGCGTCGACGTAGTTGGGTGGCAGGTTGCGGTGTCGTTTCTCCATGTGCTTGAGCATGTTGCTCTTTCGGGTGCACCGTTGGCTGCAGTACACGCACCCAAATCGCGGGGGTCTCGAGCACTCGTACAGCTGGTGGCTCTTCAGGTGGTAATAATGTTTGTAGATTCGTCCGCACTCGACGCAAACGTTTTCGAATCTTGGCAGTTTTTTCTTGGTCTTTGTCCTGGTCGAGTTTTTGCTCACGGGAATCTCTGCAGATGTGAAATCTTCGTCGCTGTCGGGAGGCTTGATCATGGTGTCCTCGATTCCTGGGGACAGCCGGATTTCGAGCGGGTCAGCCTCGTCCTCGATCGTGACGCCTGAAATGCAGAGGTCGTGATTCGTTAGGTGGGCTTCTTCGTGAAGGGTGGGTTGGAAAATTTTATGTGCCAACGGTTGACGGAGGGATGAGAGGTGCGAGAGATTTTCTATCGTTCGACGCGTTCGTGGGAGGCTTGATGGTCTTTGTAAAGATTCGCGCGGGCAGCTCGACGAATGAACTAACGACTTTTTACATTTTTTTTGTTTTGTTTTTTTGCAAAAATGATTCTTTATTCGTCATTTACAAAATTATACAAGCGTGGCCGTTAAAAAGTAACATACTGTTTGAGGTCACCTTCGCATGTGGTGACTGGCGTCAGGTATTGGAAAACATAACATTCTCTTTCACCGTTTACGGGCTTCACAAATTTTCCGTTTTCAACATCAAAAGTAAAGACAAGCAATTCAATGTTATAACGTAGTACTGCCACGTGCATCTCGATTACGTTTTCATTGATAAATTTTCAAGTTGTAAATATTTGTGTTTAATAATTTAGGATGTTTTCGCAGCTACTCAATTAATAACGTGAAAATGTATCTCTCGTAAAGATTTTATCCTATCTGCTGTTAAATAATGCATAATCTTTGTTATTCTCGGATAGCTGAAAAACAAAAGCGCGAACCTTGTGAAGTGAAAGACAAAAATGATAAAGAACAACAGAGTGTATGTAGCATATTAAGATGTTGAAATGAATGTACTATTTTAAAAGTACGAGTTAACAGTCGAGGCCAATGATTGATTGTTACGCAGTGGAGAGGAAGCGCCACTTTCGGCTCATTGTCTGCACGATTTGTCAATGTATCTGTCGATATCTGGAAAGGTGACTTTGTGCACTTTGATCAGGTGTCGCTTCATGTTGCCTTTGCGTTTGCTTTTGCAATGGCAGTACGTGCAGACGAAACGAGGGGGTTTTTGACACTCGTGCTTTTGGTGGCCGACCAGATGCGACTTGTACTTGTACGATCTGCTGCAGTAATGGCACACGTATTGACGCAACGGCGTGTTGTGCGGGTCGAGAGGGTCGTAGTCTGGGCTGCTTGGCTCGTCGGCCAGGGATGTGCTCGATAGCTCGTCGTCCAGCGACAGCGGGTCTCTCATGTTTTGAAGCTCGTCACCTGGAAAGTGGACAAATTAACAAACAAATACAAAAGAATTTTAGTCGTTGTCGGTTCGTTTTGTCGAGGTTTTTGTGGTTAATGTTGACAGATGGTGGGTTTTTGAAAAAAGTTTTTATGGGATAAATATAATTACTCCGTAAAATAATTCGGTTTTCGAAAAGTAAACAAGAGTCGTTTTTTCCTCAAACTGAGTCAAAGGATCTTGAAAAATTTTTTGTTACATTTTGAAAAATTTATTCGTACCTAAACATAAAAAAATTTTTGAAAGAAAAGTCATTAAAATGTATCGTCTGTTGTAATTAGTTTTTGTCTAGAATGACATCCTAATGAAAAAAAAATCAATAAGAATAAATATGGGACAAGTTTTATAAAATCAAAATAATATTCCAAATAATTAACAGCTTAAGGCACATTACAACACGATTGAACTTATTTCTCTTGTTTAAATTAAAAAAATTTCATTTGTTTTTCTACATAAATTAAACTGTTTTTTTATACACGTTTTTTTTGTGCTGCTACCAGTTACTATAGTTGCCCAACTTTTTTCCACAACTTTTGCTGATCAACAGTGGATTAGCGATTAGCTTTTCACAGTACATGCACTTCAGGCAAGTGAAACTGCAATATCCGACTTTACCTGAAACAAATGAAAAAACGTTGCGTCAGTGCTACTATTTATTTTCCATCGATTTGCAAACTTACAATTTGGAGGAATCGTAAACGAGTTAAGTAGAAATGAAAGCAGCTTTGGCAACTTTCACACTTGTTTTTCGTAATAATAGCAAAACCTTTATTACATACACATGACATTGAGTCACTGAAACCAGATTTAATTGCATGTTTAAATTTCCATTAACTTAAAAGTTCAATGGCCACTTAAACATTCTTATTACTACTGAATGCGGTGGTGTGTGTGTGGACCTATGTGTATGTGGATGAAAAATAGTATTATCTTTGGATTTTCATGACCAACTATGATATATACCGTATTTTTTGTTTTCCAACAATATTATTACGGCTAAAAATAGTTTTTTTTGTTTTCACCGTCTTGTTCTTATATTTTTTGATTTTTCGAAAGTTTGTAGAAATTCAATGTAAATAATTTTTTCGTGCACACTGTGATTTTTTATTTTAATCCTGTAAACGCAATGACTGTCCACTTACTTTTGTGTCATTACTCTATGAGAATATCTACGTTATCAAAATCCGTGACCGTATCTCTTAGAAGATACAAGATAAGAAAATCATTTTTACATACATAATACATACATAAGCTGTAACGGTAGGTATTTCTTTTTAACCGCTTTTTAAAAATCATTACTGCTGATTATTATTTGTTGGTATTTACTGAATTATGTTAATTTAATTCTAATACGAGAAAATTTTTTTTTTATAATAGTTACATTCAAAAGTCATTATGAATCATGTAACAGGACTTTTCGAATGCCATAATATGAGTGCGATAGCAGTAATTGTGATATATTGAAAAAACACATGAACAATGTAAAAAAACGTCACTGGTTTGTGAGAGTACCCCCTGTGCACTGAAATTTTTTGACAACCGGGTGTTTCTAACATCTGGTACTGCATGTCATTGTATGCAAAATCTGAAACATAAACTGTATTACGTGATGTTTAAGTATACATATAGTTAAAATGTCTGTTATGGAGTGTCAGTTATCATATTTTGTTATTACTGGGGATGAAACAATTTATTTTCCTAATTATTGACAAATTCTTGGATTTTTACTTCTTTGCCCATCATTATTGCATAGCCACGTAATTTACCATTCGTTTTGCAATAATGTTGTTCTACGTTGTGAATTTTCAGCAATAAAAATATTATCAGTAAGAATTTGTGACGCTTTTAGTTTTTTAACTAAAAATGTATAAATAACGAGGTGATGGCTTAAATTATAAATAAAATCTTATTCCTTAGATAAAGGTGAAAAAAGCGTAAATTTACGAATGAAACAGTAAAATACTTGGTAATGATTTAATAATTTATAAATTTATTGAAACAACTCGTAAAGAGAAACTGTAATACATAGACGCTTGACCTTTAAGATAAATTTATTTAAAAATTATAAGCCAATTGCATTTTATTAAAAATTTCACTTGATGAACAAATTTTTGACTTCATTACAGTACACTGAAAAAAAAAATTCCTTAGAATTCCAATTAAACATTTTCTTAAAAAAAAAAAAAAAAAAAAAATGTACACATAATTTCACACAAAGAACATTTTCTTGCGTGGAATAAATATTCAATGTTATTCCAAGAGATTATATACTTGGAACTTCTCTAACAAATATTTTCTTATTCCCCGAAAAATTTGTTGTTTCATGGTAATAGTTATATAACTTTCAAAGCATTTCATTATACACTATTAAATTTCGCATCATGTGATTGCACATCTCACAAATAATCACGATAAAATTAATAACTGAATTTTACACAAATATTTCACGCTTTTACAATTATTCATATTACAAGGACGCATTCGAAGTGAATTTAAAATCCTTGTCTCGATGTTTTATGCGTATGTGCCTCTTTATGTCAGCTTTTCGTTTACTCCTGTACGTGCAATAGAAGCATCCGAAACGCGGAGGTTTGTGGCACTCGTACTTCTCATGCTGTATCAAATGGGACGAGTGCTTGTAAGATTTTCCGCAGCGCAGACACGCGTGCGGCTGTTTCGGGCTGAACGTCACTGCGGCTAAAGTCGCCGTATCTCTGAATTGCGCGAAACTCGTGTCTTCCTCGTCCAACTCGATTTTCAGCTGGTCCGTCAATGCTGGGGTTTCTACGTACATGCCGAACATACCTAGCGGATCTTCAAGCATTTCTGAAAACAACAACAGGTAGGTAAGAATTAGTTGCCGATGAAGTTGGGAACCTACTTTCTTTTGTGCTTTTTTTTTCTAAATAATATTTAAACACTGAAATAGCTCGTTCGTGACGATTAGGCTGAACCATGTGATTTAGAGTTTTTACTGATTTTGGACAGTGACATAGGTATGGCGTGATTTAAATATAAAATGTTTCCTTTACATTACATTTACTCGTGACAAACACTGACATCGACCATAAATATTCTTAGTGTAACAAAAAAAAAAAAAAATGTTTACTTACGATACCTTCTACTGATGAAAACCTAAAAAAGAAAAAAATCGTTCATGACACCGTGGCTAAGTAAGGAAATCCATATTTTTAGAATCTGATGCAGTGATCAGAGCTAAGAAGACAGACAAGTTTATTTTTACGAGATACGATTCGTACAAAATGATTTTTCTTTGCAGCTTTTAAGAATCAATATGTTTTGTATATTATAAAGTTATTTCCAGCATAACAGATCTATCAGTGTTTTCAGATATTGGAGCATATTTTTAGTGTCCGAGAAAATTCGTGTAGTGTTCATAAATTTTTCTGCACTTATTAAACATGAAGGTTTGTGATGAGTTACGTCAATCGCATTGCATTGGTACTGTTGATACAACACTAGTGGATCAAATATCGAATCATCGAAACAATCTGAAATTGAAAAATGTAATTCTCATTAGTGGATGACGATCAGTGGAAAAATTATTTGCAACCTGTGGAAAAATTAAAAAAATTATTTTAGTCGTTGGATGATAAGCACCATATAAGGTAGAGGAAATAAAAAAAGTTTTCCTTTATTCAAAAAATACTTTTGAATCGTTTTGTATGGAATTTTTGCTGGACATGTTATTGCAATCGTTAAGATTAAAGTGTTCTCTCCGAATTATTAGATAAACTTTTAATTTTATTCAATTTTCTTAGATTTGTTACAATGTGTTCCAAACTTTGTGCATCATTCTTGCAGTAACCAGTAATTTTTATTTTCAATTCTTATAAGACAATTTACAAAACATATTTTATGTAAAGTTGTATCATAGTACTTATAAAAAATATTTCTATGGTTTTTTTTTTAGTATTAATGCGCATTTACTTACAACTATATTAGCTGGACGACTAAATAAGAAAATATTCTTTGTATCACTGACTTGATAAACATTTAAGTATGCATAAATTTTTTAAATATTTTGAACCAAAAATTTATAATTTTTTAAGATCACGGCAACACTTCAGCTTGCAAAAAAAATTTAATGTTTCATAAAATGCAAAACAATATTTCATATTTACTTAAATGGTTAAACGACTAAGTATACACAACTTCAATCATATTTTTCCGAAAATCTTTCAAAATAAAATTTTGGTTAGTTAATTATAGTAAATCCTTAATGGTTTGTGGAAGGCACATTCGGAAAAACATTGACGCTGTGTGTACATGCATACACGTAAATGTGTATTGGTAACAAAAATCTTATCATAGAAACATTTCAAACTCAATAAAAAAAAAAATAATAATAAAAAATATAGAATATGATTGATTCTTAAGAAAAAACATAAAAAAATAAAAAAAGGTATAACAAAAAACTGCCATCTGTAACAAACGTTAAAAAAAACCTTCATTATTTACCAAACACTTGAAGCTCTGTTCGAGATGAACCTTCTTAATGTGTCTAAGGACATGCTCTTTGCGCTTGAAGATTCGCGAACAAAAAGCGCAAGAAAACCGAGGTCCGGAGACCAAATTCAAATCACATTCAAATCTAACGTGGCGAGACCAGTGTTTTTGGTATTTGTAAGTCTTGTCACACCTATCGCATTTGTAGGGTCTTTCTGTAGCGGGGGACATCGTGGAACCACAAAATTCTGCCGATATGTCCAGTTTCGTGTCCTCTGCTTCTACGTCATATTCCACAAGAGCTAAGGGATCGTCGGGAAACATACCTGTAATGAAAAAGTATACCTTACTTATAGTTATCGGGCATTGGCCAAGACCAAATATACTATTAGTTAATCACACTCAATGAAAACTTTAACTTTTATTAAATTACTCATGATGAAGACCTAATCTTAAAACTAAAAAGAAATTTGCTATTTTTTGTATTAGGCATTGTTATTAAATAAATAAAACAAGTTATTTGAACGATTATGAATGGAACAATAACATTGGAAATGGATTATATTTATTTTTATTGATTCGGTACATTCTAACAATCTTGCATACGTATCACTTTTGCGTTAAAGTGCCAGTGACAGATTAATTGTTATAAAAAATTTCCATTTGAAGCAAGAGATCTTTGATGGACTTTTATCGTTGGCGTCATCGTTGTCGTCGTGATAGTATGGATGCTGATTGATAATTTGAAACTCCAACCAATAAAACCTTAAATAAGAAATTAATTGCGTCACGCAACAGCTTTTGAGTCATTGAGTGTGCACTCAAACGTTTTAGATACAAAAATCTAATTCGAAAAATTTAAAATTCACTGAAAATATTTGATGAAATAATATAATCTTTAACTAAAAACAATTTTAATTTTCTTGGTGGAACAAAGTATTTATTTACATTTGGATTTGACTAAAAATAGTAAGAATTAGGTAATGTTGAAAATTATGTTTTTAATTATATTTTTTAATTCTTAAGGATCACACGTTATATTTATAGTTTTAGTTGATTTTCATTAATCGTAAGCTAAAGCACTTGTGGGTATAGTTAGAAGACAGTAGATAAAATAATAAATAAATACAGTTACACTGCACGTAGTAATTTTTTTATTATATTTCATCGAACTATACGCCTACATTTGTCAAATATTACTATAATGTTGGTAATTACATCACGAGATTTTTTTTATTTTTACAAAAAATTTCACAGGATTTTACTATGATTTTTTTCATCCATGATTTATTTATTTCTATTTTTAACAACTACCTTACCAAAAAAAATTTTGCTGTGTTGACAGATAACAACGTATAGCTGTAACGTATCCTCGTAATATGCTTTGAAAACGCTATGTGGACAATAATGTGCATTTTAATATATGTTTTGTGGTACGATGGATTGCCCAGAGTTGCAATGCACAAAATGTCCTTACAAAGTTTAATGAACAACTTGGTATTAAAAAAAATATTTGTACCATTTTTCAGTAACTATGTACACTTACTTACGACCTGAACTGATGGGAGACTAGGAATATTTAGTTAATCATCACTTGATAAAAGTCTAAATAGGCAAAAATGTTTTGAGAAGACATAAAAAAATTTAGAATCGACATAAAAGTTAAGTTAATAAAAATATATTCATCTAAAGCCAAATAATATTTACTATTATATTAAATATTAAAGTGCGTAAGTAAGAAAAATTTTTAGTAAAAAGAATACAGTGTTTGGCACAATCCTCCCCTAAACTTATTAATTTAATGTGAATAAATATTTAAATGGAATTGATCGAAAATCGATTTCTGGCAACGAAAAATGATTGTTCAGATTAAATAATTAAACTTCAAGAATAATTACACGAAATGTTTTTTTTTCATTTCACAAAATTTTTTTCTCAGTCTACGTAGTGCATACCATAAAAATAATATTACATATGTATTGGTAACGAACATCTTACCATCAATCCATTTAATCTTCATTAAAGATAACTTTCTTACACGAATTTTCGAACAAACAAAATGATAATAAATAAAAAAAATAAAAAAGGGGTAAAATGTAACGAAAATTGTATTTTATGAAAAGCATTAAAAAAATCCACCATTATGTACCAAATAATTGAAGCTCTGCTCGGCATGTACTTCTTTAATATGTTCAAGGACATGCTCTCTACTTTTGAAAGTTAGTGAACAAAAAGCGCAAGGGAAGTTAGTTTCAGAGGAACATTCGCTTACATGTTGAGACCAGTCATTCTGATTTTCGAAAGTTCTCTCACATTTTTCGCATTTGAAATGTAACACCCCAAGAATGATCGTTGCTAAGCTAAAATTTCCTGTCAGGGATGGCTGGGGTGGTTGTATCTCCTCTTCCTTTATGTCAATTTCCGAAAGAGCTAACGGATCGTCTGGACAAACATCTATAATGTAAAAATATACATAAGTTAGTTTTAAAAATTTTGACAGGAATAAATATTTATTATTTAATTTGTTAGTTGAATGTTTTGGAGGGTTTTATAACTTTCTTTTTGAACTAAGAATCAGTATTTTTGTAAAATATTTCATAATTTTAATTTGAAAGTCATCCAAGCTGTATTTTAGGTACTATAAAAAATGCAAGAAAATTATAAACATATTACAGGGTGATTTCCAAATAACTAAATATTTTATTTTTAAAACCACTCATATTCAGATTTTTTTTATTTTTTATGATGGTCGGATGCATTATCTATACGAAGCTATCAAGGCCTGCCGTAAGATATTAATATTGAAAAAAACAACAACAAAAATTTCTAACGATGATAGGAAATTTTATGTATATTCAGATATAATTCAATAATAGCATGTACATTATTCTTGTTTTTAAGCCCATTTTTATTCATAGTAATTCTATTTCATTAAATGATGTAAAACGATGTACCATCAGGAACCTACACATCTATATTCAGGTAATAAGAATCTGGAAACAAAGTGCAGCCATCTTATTAGGCAAAATATATGAACCGTTATTTTTCGTAACAGTTGCAAGTGATACTTAAGCATCAACAATGGTATTTACAATTCAACATCCTTATGTCAGATTCTGATGTTATTATCAGAATTTCAATAATGATTGAAAAAAATAAATTACGAAGTAAAAAAATGAATTAATATCAATGAAATCATTTGAAAATTTATGTTATTATTAAGATTTTGTTTGTACAATTAATTTTACAAGGTATGCAATTCAAAAACAATTTTTTTCGTCTTCTAATGGAACGCTTTCTGGGCAAAAGTATGCTTTTGCCGGCAAATATTGATGTGTCGATGTAACGTGTACTGATAGTGTGTTTTGTAAACGCAATGTGGGCAATGAAAACGAGCAGCTTTTCCACACTCGTATTTTTTATGACGTGAGAGATTGCCAACTGTAGCGTAAGATTTGCCGCAACGGATGCACTTGACGCCACCCGACTCCTTATAGTGTACGCGTCTCCTCGATTCATCTAAATAACCTAAAATTAAAAAAAAATATTTCGACATTAGACAAGTTATTGTGTACACTTGAATGGAATTTTCGCGATTGGACATATCGTTATTTTGTTCAATCGAGGTCAAGTAAGCAAAGAGTTTAAATGTAAGTTTTACCAATTACCTTTTGTTAAAGTAATAAAAATGAAGTAGCATGATTCATTGAGTGGTAATGAAAATACATTGATTGATTTATTTTTTTTTATCTGTTTAATAACTTATTTATTATTATTAATCTTTTTTTATACAACGTTGTTCAACGCACAATAATATTTGTATATATACAAATGGTAAATGATGAATTAATGCAAAACTGTTAGGTGAAAAATAACATTAAAACACACAAATTTGTAATGAAATTGTGAACACGTATGTTTTGTGTTTTGTGTTCGATTTTGAAGAAACAGGGTTTGCATAAAAAACACAAATAGTGCTTCCATTTTTTTCCGCACTGGGTACACTGTTTAATTTTTAATTTTTTTTATTTACAATTATCGTTGGTGCAAGAATTGTCTGAGATTAAAAAATGTCAACGTTTCAGGCAAGTTAAAAAAAAAAAAAAAAAAAAAATGATTAAGTATAAGACAATGATCACTGTAACGAGTCCGTTTTTTGGACCATTTAATTGAAAACTAATAAAATACATACATACATACATAGTTTTATTAAATGTTGTCCGTGGTGAAAAATTTAATCGCGTATTAAGAAAATTATAACTAGTCTGTCTGGTATTTACATAAAATATATGAAGAATATTTAGAAATTAGTTAATGGTAAATAGTCACATCCTTGAAGTACTAACAAAAATAAATTTTTGTTCTGTGCTTGTATCATCTTTTGTAATTTTTATTGTTTAGTCATTATATGTATTGGATTAAAAAATTGTTCAACAGAAAGCAATTAACTATATTAAGTATTTTCGAATTCTTAATCAACAGTTCTTTATTTATTTTTTCATCTTTAAACGAACAGGTATCACATAACTAGTACAAAAAATAATGCAATCGATTGTTGCAAAGATATAATATGTCAATCGAATAATAACAATTATTTTTTTCACCCACGTCGTAGAATTCGTAATTACAATTACTCGAAAGTTTGATATTGGCACTAACATGAAACTTTAGATTTTATTGTATTAACTGCATAAAATCCATTATTTATTAATGTACTAAATTTTAGATTTTAAAGATTTTACTCATCTTTGCACAAAAGTAAGTTTATTTAACCAACACATAGAAAAATTACATGTAACCCACAGTCAAAAATAAGTTCCTCATTGAATTATACAATTATTCATTATGTAATTATTATACGTTTTTGAAACTATTTAAAATAATAAAATCCTTAATCTAAACCGTTAGGTATACATTTTTTTCTGAGCCTAAAATAATTAAAATAAACTTTGTCTATTATTGCAACTTATTCTATTCATTGCGCTATTTTGGAGCTGCTATTTAAATTCACATGACCATCTTGGAAAAAATTTTTATAAATTTTTGAACCACACATCTTATTTTATACTACAAAAACTACTTCCAAAATTTTTTCCAGATGTCAAAATAAAAATATAAGAATATAAATACCATTTCAAATAAAACAAAGTTATACTTGTACCAGCAGAGAATAACTCTGAATTTTAATATTAAAAAAGGATTAAGTAAAGTTATAAAGTAGAAATTTCCACAAAAAGTGCAAATAAATTTTCCTACATAAACACAATACGGTGCTTGATAACACACGGTGCATAAACACCCAAGAAAAAAAATCACTTACGATGATTGATTAAAAAAAATGTTTGGGCCAAATCTTATTTGGTTGGTAAGAAGAAAAAAAAAAAAAAAAAAAATTGAAAAAAGCTTTTAATCGCTTATTCTATGTGAATAATGTCTTTTTTTATTATAAGCGTAATCAAATGTTCGTCCGTAATTTTGTGTTTATTTCTCAAGTGCCTTGCGAGATTTGATTTCTGGTGCTCTCTCTTCGAACAGTACGGACACGCATGGCGCGGTGGTTGGCCGCATTGCTCGATGTGCCGATTATAACTGGATTTGATGTGAAAGGTCCTCCGGCACCTGTCGCAAACGTAAAACTTGAAGCGTACCTGCTTCCCGTTAACAACCACGACTTTAGTTATTTTCTCCGGAGCCAATGGGTCCGACTCGTCCCCCATGGAACCTTCCTCTGCAGATTCGTCGCTGTGGATGCTTTGGTCGGATGCAACTGGTCCTCAAAAAATAACAGTAATTAAATAAGCATATTATTTTCAAATTTATTGCGCGCGTTTTCGAAAACACAATTTTACATCTAAAGCAATTTTCATTGTAATTTGTGCACAGTGAACATGTGGTTATTCAGGAAATATTTTTGGGCTCCTAAGAACTTTGGAGGATTCCCGTAAAATTAATTTCAAAATTATTTTCATTTCAAATCAGTACTGCACTCTCCAGAATAAATTGCCAGGTGAAGATCACGTGATTGATGAAATTTTGGGACATGATTTTTCAAGCCAGGATACAAAAAATTGTTATTCCGAACTCACAACCAACAATCTTAATAATATATATCAAATACACTTCTGATGTTTTTACTTGATGCAAATGAAAAATATAAAAATTAAACAAGTAAAATAGAATTTTAAAAAAGAAATTTACAAATGCTACAATTTGTTTGTTATACTTTTTTTTACTTTAACTGTTGGTTATAACTTTATCAGAAAAAAGACTCCAGTTATGTTTTGACGTAAGAGAACTTATTCCAAAGTTTGGTTTAAGTGTGTTCCGAACTTGACAAGTTTTTCTGGCTAGTGTTGTCCAAGGGTAAAGGAGAAAATGTTCAAGTGACAAACGCAAGGCTATTTTCAAGCAAAAAAAAAACCCAAATTAAAAAATTTGCGTGCTGTGAATAAAACATCTAAATCAGTCCTACGACGGATTTCGGTTAAAAAACACACTCTGCGAACCATATGACAAATTATACGGGAAAAATGATTAAAATGGAAATTAAAACTGTGAATAAATTTTCGAAGAATCTTGATTTCAAGAGAATCTTTATTTTAGTATAAAACATGAATAGATTTCAAATAAAGATAAAAATATATATATATATGTATAACCGCAGATATACTTATTGCTTAAAGTATGAAAAAAAAAACAAGGACAATTAAAACATTGTTCGGTCTTTATAATTTCAAAACGTGTGATGGTCCATTTTCCTCAGATGTACTCTGTTGATGTGTCTCAATAGAGTGTCCGTCCTACTAAACTTGTACGGGCAGTAGTGACACGAAAACTTTGGAATTACCCCACACTCGTGCTTTTTGTGCCGATACAACGTCGACGTATTTTTATACTTTTTGTTGCACCGATCGCAGACGTAGTATTCTCCCGATCGAATAATCGTAGTGTAATTATTCGCGTACAAAATTTGGTCATCGATGTACTGGCCATTGTCTGATTCTAAATAGGGTAACGTTGCATTGGGCACCCACTCTCGTGTCATCGCTGGAAAGAAAAAAATTTATGTCGTATCAGTAAATTTGTAATCAAACCTTCCTTAAATTTTATTACTTGTAGGTGTGCGCATGACACGTTTGAGAAAAAAAAAAAAAAAAAAAAATCCCGATTGTTGAAACGAAAAAGTGCTGTTGTGTGGTGTTTGGGCACATTAAAAAAAAGGAGGACATGCTTTTTTCAACATCAGGATTTATTTTGTAACGTTTGTACAAGAAGTAGAAACATTAGTATAATGAAAATAGAAATATGTTAAGAACCGTATCATTTAGCCACTCAAGAATCATCACACATAAAAATCTTTTCCATGAAAATTCGTACCCAAATCGGGAACAAAAAATCCTCACCAAACATCAAAACAACGTGTACCCATTGTATTATTTGAATCAGAGGCACGTATAGGTATACACATATATTGTCATCAACCACTTACAATGAGAGTCACTTGAAGAAAAATAAATCACGCCAGACCAGCCAACGATCCATCATCACACACTCGATGGCAGCTATACAGTTATGATTGACTTGGTCCCAACAGCTCTAAGATGATTCGCCGCGACTATTGTTATACTTAGCCCGGCAGTTCACCATGTGGATCTTGAGATTGTCCTTGCGTTTGCAAACGTACGCGCAAAAGTCACAATTAAATTGGGCCTTGAGGCCAATGCATTCGAATTTCATGTGCCGCTGAAGGGAGTAGATGCGTGTGTAGAATTTGCCGCACTTTTCGCACACGTTCAGGGTATGTTTGGCCGATGACCGGGAGTTGGGCTTCATTGCCCGTAGTTTCATCCCTTGGGTCGGGTACGGCAATTGCACAGTTGAGAACGACGTCACGTCCATACAGTCGATGAAGGTGAAATCTAGAATGGGAATTTGGCACTTTAGTACGTTGATTGATTGATTGATGGCATTTTCTTTTCTTTGACTTTAAGCTAGCAATGTGCGTCTTAAGCTGGACTATGCGTTTGGTTGTTTTTGCTATTGAATCTCTGGTTTTGGGGACTGCAAAAAATGACGTGATACTTTTCATGGTCAGTTGGTTAAATTTTATGAATTTTTTATTATTGAGATGAAAGAAAAAAAAAAGAAAAAAAATTTAGTACGAATAATTTTTATATACCATTATTATTATTAATAAAACATTGTCATGCGGATGCGAGTCTAAGCGCTCACCAAATGTATAACAATTATATTTGTGAAAGGGGAATGATCCCACGTATGTCATGAATAAATAAATGAATATAGGCGTGAAATTTAAAATAATAACAACGAAAAACAAAAAAAAATCTGTTTAATATTTAGTTATACTCTTTTGAATACATATCATACATGTTGCCAAAAATATTGCCATTGCGAAGAAAAACATTAAAAATTGGTTCTTCATATGAAATCAATCGACCAAAATCAGACATTTCATCTTTCACATAAATGACAAACCACATCAATCTCGAGAAACAATGTATATAGGACGACAAACAAAAAAATGTCTATGGTTATAAAACGCTTTTCAACAAACGGTGATAAATTCTGGTGCAAGTACGAATTCGACATGTGACGATTGAAATTGTCTCATCGAGTTTGCCAGAATAATTGCACAAGAGAAGTTTGTGGGTTTGATGACAAAAAAAGGCGGCGAAACCGAGTACTTAAGGTGTTTTTATTGAATCGTTCAATGAATTATACAATATGTTTCACAGCGAGTATAAAAATTGAAGAAAAAAAAAAAAAAAAAAAAAAAAAAAAAAAAAAAAAAAAAAAAAAAAAAAAAAAANTAATGCGTCATGCGTGTACACAATAGTTACAAAAGTAAAGGGAATCTAGTTTTCATTCATTTCTTCAAGACTGCAATGTTCAGTAAACGTAACGCTTATAAAATAACAAAGTATATTCATTTTATTCTTACTCAAGTGAATTGTACATCATTAGAAAATGGTAACCATTTTGTTCCAGTATTTATTAGTTGTACAAAAATATTTTTTACACAAGTATTGATTTAAGTAAGCACACATATTGTGTAAACACTTTGTACATTTTACACGGTAACAGTAGTTAAAAATGTTTACATTTTTATTTTTCGATAACGATCATTTTTATTGATTTACAATGAGTTGAGCTAAATCTATCAACTCTAGTAAACAAAGAGAAATATAATCAAATATCAGTGTATAATTTTAAAAACGCAAAAAAACATGTTATTAAAAGATAAGTAATAATCCAATCAAAAATATTTTTTCAAAAAATATAATTGGCACTTTTTTTTTTTTTTTTTTTTTTTTTTTTAATAAAAAGTTAAACAAGTACTGTGCTGGTGTACGCAGTGTAGATTGAAAATATTCCATGTGTTAAAAGTTAAGGTATTTTTAAAATTTTTTTCTTCTACCATGGCGTCGATATGGGAGCTCCAGATCTTGGTGATCTCTTTATAGACCTGTTGACAAAATCGGAACTTTAAAATGGACATTACATCGAAAAGTGTGTTAAAAAATTCAATGATATATTATCGATTTCTATAGTACGAACATTGAGTATTTAAACGTCATAATGAGCTTTAAGTGGGTACGAATGGATTTTGTTGGAAAAAATGTCTAATTATAACTCCATGCATTAATAAAAACTTGAATTTTTTTATCACATTGTTACAGTCATCAAAAGGTAAAATGATATAGTAGAGGATCGCAAAAGAAAATCGGTAGTAAAAACAGCTAAAAAGGTTGTTTTAATGTATAACGTACGTTTAAAATAAATATATTAACAAAATCAGAATTAACTGCCAATTTGGAGTTATCGAAAAATCACATGGATGATTTTTTTTTTTTTTTTTTTTTTTTTTTGACAGAGAGATGCTTATTTTCCTCCACACTGGGATGGTGCCTTCTAATATGAACGGTCAAGTGGAAACTTCGTTTGCATCGGCATTTCAGCTTCTCTTTAAACTTGTTTCAATTTTGTTAAAATTTCCATTAAAAAAATAATTATCCATGATATCCATTAAAATGACGAGAAAGGAGTTTAAGGAAGGTCCTGCACTGGTAAGAATTTTTTTTTTTGTAAAATGGCTAAAAAATAACGACTTAAATTTTAATATTTGAAATAAATTTTACTTTTTTCGTAATTTAGGGCAACAAAATGTTAAATGATATTTTCGGCCAAGTACACATTAAGTATTGCATAAATCAGCCAATACCTATAGGTATCGTATCAATCAACGTAGTAATGCACCGGTTTACTCTTGTGCTTGCTTTCGATGTGCTTCTTGAGATCGTGTTTGTGTTTGCTTCGATGGGAGCAGTAGAAGCACCGGAACCTCGGACTTATGCCGCATTCGAATTTCGCGTGCCGCATCAGGTGGTGCACGTGATAGTAAGCTTTTCCGCAGCGCGTGCACACGTTTGTCTTACTGGGGTTCATCGATCTGTCGATGTGAACGAGCAGCTCTTGACTCGGTACCACTTGATAAGCCGACGCGGTTTGGAACGTGTCGTACATTTGATAATGATCTGGAATGAAAAAAAAAAAAAAAAATCAAAGTGTTAGAATAAGAAATGAAACGGAGATGCTATAAAGTTGACGTGTGCTTGCGTAAAGTTTTTTTTTTTTTTTTTTTTTTTTTTTAATTTTTTTTTTTTTTTTGCGCGGTTATACTTTTTTCTTCCCC